TTCCATGCCAGGTGCCGGGGCAACCACGATGCTCGTGAGTGCAGCACCATCCCTTCTTATGGTCCGACCAGCCGAAGTACCAGTTCGAGAAGCCCTCGTTGCAGTTGTAGCGGAAGTGGTGCACGACTGGCGCCGCCGGGATGTAGCGGGTCTTGTAAACAACATGGCTTGGGGAAGGCACGGGGACGGAAACGTAGTGGTATTGCGGCGGCGAGGAAACAGGATAGGGCACTTGCTTGTGGATCACGTCACGCTCCACATGGTAATGGGGACACGCACGACCGTACTGATCGCAGCAGGCGGCTTGCTTCTCCGGAGTCCAGAGGTTCTTCCAGTCATGGTATCCTTCGTAGCAGTTCAATGTGGGCTGCGTCTCATCTGCACCAACGGGTGTGCGATGCAACCACCACCACAACAAGCCTTGGAAAAGACAGGCTAGGATTTGGAAACCTGGTGGTATGAGCTCAAGTTGCATCGGAGCTACCCAGCAGGAGGAGTGCAAGGAGCGCCAGCAACGCCAAGCAGCAGGCACGCACCCTGCCCAACCCAAGTTTCGTCGAAAGTAAAACCGAGACTGACCAACGTACGGAGAGTTACAGCGGCTGTGGGGCAAGTGGAGGTCCGCCAGATCTATGCTTTCCGGTCTTGTTACCGCACCAAGGACCTCCCAAACAATACGTCGCAAACTAACCCCAGCGCTTTGCCCACCTGCAACTTGATTTCTGCGCAGATTTCTGCACCCGAAGTAGCAGCAACATATAGCAGCTATAGCAACATGACACCAGCCACGGACCGCACCTCCTGAGCATCCCTGAGCTCACCAAAGCTCATTTGAGATCCAATTTGAGAACTTCAATCCAAACACACACGCATACTCTCTCGACGCCAATGCGTCTCCAGGTCTCGCTCACAAGAACTGCCGAAACTCATTGTACACTTGCATCATTGTTCAACAACTGCACAGCGAGTATGATAGACGATGTCGCAAATGCAAGGTACACAGCGGAGATCACACTGCATCCACTCCACTGATGTGGCTTCGTTTGGCGACGCCTGTCTCTGGAGCCCTTGCCCCCGTGCTGAAATCACAACACATGCACTACACATGCCACTGCAACGACTATCCCTTGGAAACAGGGTTGGACACATACACACACACACACACACACACACACACACGAGGGCATGACTCTCCCTGCAACATCCCTCGCTACATGCACAGGGGATCTAGCGAGAGCACGTGACAGGAGCACAGATGATCAGAATTTGACATTGTGGCTGGCCATCAGCCTCCATCGGGTGTATACAGCCTTCTCCTCTTTGTTCCATTCGCCCATTCCTGCAGCCACGGCCAGTTTATTCTGGCTGCTGCAATCATCACAGTGCCAACATGCACACCTTAGACTCCTTGTCAGTCTCGATTCATTCTATTTCAAGAGCTATTACCTGTAAGGCGTGCTACGTGTGGCCAAGCGTCCTGCACCAATGAATCGCATCTCAGAGCGCTGCTCGTATGACCCACGGCTCGCACCCACATAATCTCAGCACCCAAGCGAGTCTAGTCTAGTCGAAGTTTTAAAGCCTTCGCAACGGACTCCGAACTCTTGCAGACTCTTGCAACTTGCAACAGAAACAGCGCACCGAGGAGCGCCAGGCATCTTTCTCGGTCCTGATGCCCTCATCACCTTGCGAGCACACGGCAAAACTCGCTGTGACCTGGGCTCAATGTAAGCGCACCCCAAGGCACCTTCACACATGAGCTCGCTGCAGTCACCCATTGGGAACTGATATTTTTGCCCGAACGCACAAATGAGAATGATCAGAGCCGATATGCTTGCTTACAGATACAAAGACTACCAGCAGCTTACTAGCAACATGGGCGGGCTGCGCCTGCACTTTGGAATCCATACAACTTGCATCAAGCCCAGGCAAATGTTCTACGCCGCCCCTCACGACACCGCTGTCAAACACCAAACCCGTGAGTCAGCACAGCCAAATCATGAGATCAGATGGCCGTGGCTTGGTCCGTGGAACGCAAACACATCTGCAAGAAATGGTTCTGTGATTATGGTTTGTGCAAGGCATGGTCACCATATCCTTGAAAGAGCAGACCATGCCCCGTTGACGACCACTACAGCTGGAGCCCCCCAATGAGACTTTGCATGGCGGAGCCCAGCCCAGAGAACGATGTAATGGCATCTTGCCCGACATCGACATTTCGACAGACGGGGGTTGCCCCAGTCCTAGACGCCTGAAAGTTCCATGCAGCATTCCGCGCCGTGCAGAAGATAGAAAAGTGGTGCAACAAAGTACATCGGGCTTGTTTATCCCGTGCCAAAGGACCTACTGGTGGCGGATGCTGGACGATTTTCACGGTGTTAATGGTAGTTCTGCTGGTATCGTGGGAGTTCACCCAGTGCATTCTGAGCCTTCATCGCAGACTCCTCGTTTGAGGGCGCAAGGTCGCAGCTACATGCTGTGACTACAGTGAGTATCTGTTCAAAGGCTCCCAATGACATAAAACCACCTGTACGAAGTTGCAAAGGAATGTACAGTGATGTACATCGGGTTCGTAGCTAGAAGGTAGTCCGACCACCAGCAAGAGAGGTCGAAGGATTGCGAACTACGACACGCCAAGGCGTTAGGATCAACTGCAGGAGTTGCCCACATGGCGACAGCACCAGTCCTGTCAGTAGAGCGATGCAGGGACTAACTAATGCCGCCTCTAGGCTGCTTGCGGCTGCTTGCGCCTGCCTTCTTGGCTGGCGACCAAGCCGTGTGCCAGCGGGAAAAGCCTGCGTGGCAGTCGAATGCTGCACCATGGCCTCACAAAAGCCAATCGAGATTGAGGAGGGGGTCCTTCCTATGTCGGTCACTCCCATCTACGGTCCGGACTATAGTGCGCTCCGCCGTGGTACACGTGGTGAATGACATGCACGGTCTGGGATCCTTCTCAAAGGGTCAGCCTGTAATGTGGCTTGCGACAACCTCTCCTGCCCGACCTCCTCCGCAGCCCTCGTGATGGTGGGCACAGCACCATGCCTGCGCTACCAAACCCGAAAAGGCATGTTGTCTGAGTTGCCTCCGCAGCTTTTCGTGGCCTTCTTGCCCTCGGACCAGCCGGTGTGCCAGTTGGGCAGGCCGGCATTGCAGTCATAGGGCATGCTGGCTTGGCCGTGGCCGTGCACCGCCACCCATGTCCAGTAGCCGTTCACCTGCCATGCGCTGCGGCGCCAAGCGTCAGCTAGCATGAACGAACACCAGCCTGGACGCGCTTCCAAACCATGCCGTAGCCAGCATCGACGGAAGGCGGGTGGTGGCCCTCGCAGCCCTTTCCCTGCTTGGTGCAGCACCAGTGCTTCTTCGCCGGGGCCCAAGCCTCACAACAGTCTGCCGAGGCAGGGAGGGCGGTATGAGCGCATGCTATGTCCACAACCCACGCACACTCGGAGCATCAGCACAGGCCAGGCGACCCTGTAGAAGTTGTTGAGGGCCGCGTTGCAGTCGAAGGGTAGTGAGCCCGACATGTGCACTTCACAGCCCGCCTCCTGCAACCCCGCTGGCAGATTGTACCAACATGAAGCTCGACAATAAAACAACTCTGTTACTACACTCCACCACTTCGTCATACCGTGCCTCGATTGTGCAAGATCGGCACACGTCGCACTCCACCTGCACCTTGCTGTAGGCAAGGGCGCACTTGTTCTCCTCGCATCAAGCAGGGGTCAGTCGCGTGCCGCTTCGTTGGTTGAGACCTGCAGCTGCGGAATGCCGGGCAGTCCTTGTCTCCGAAGACGTGGTCTCGTGTCCAATGGATGCGGTTCATGCAAGTGTCGGTCTCTCCTGGCAAAAATTCGGTTTGGTGCGGGTGCTACAAGTGCTACAGGCCTACAGGCGCATCACTGGAAAACACCGCAGGGCAGGCCGTGGAACTCACAGGGCGTTTCGCACTTCATCGGTGACATCGTCGTACGGGGGCAGCCCTTCTGGAAGTGCGCGCAGCACCTCACAGTGGGTCTGCGTGCGAGCGCGAGGGTGTGTGCGAGTTCCGTCCTAGCTGCGGCGAAGGCACCACTCCGACTTTTCCGGACCCCAGGAAGCCTCCTGAGACAAGCACAGCGGCCAAGAGCAGCCGAAGCAGGACAAAAACCGCTCGACCAAAAAGTCCAAGGCACTTCGCCGGTGCAGTGGAACTTGACGCAGCCCTTCTGCTCATGCGAGCAGCACCAATCCTTCTTGGAGTCCGACCAGCCTTGCATCCAGTTGGAGAAGCCGGCATCACAGTCATAGATGTGCCCCTCTGCATGGCCGATGTGGTGCCCCACGTGCATATTGAGGTGGTAGCTGCCATGCCAGGTACCGGGACACCCGCGAGACTCGTGAGAACAGCACCACGCTTTCTTGTGTTGCGACCATCCGAATAACCAGTTCGAGTAACCGGCACGGCAGTTGTAGGTCTGCGCAGGAGGACCATGGTAGACGAAGTGCGGGTGGTGGACCACAGTCGCAGAACCAGTGCATGCTCGGCCATAGAGGTCACAACAAATTGCTCTCTTGTCTGCATCCCAGAGAACCTGATAATTGTAAAACCCAGTGTTACAATCGATCGCATCCTGAGCAGGCCTTGACACGGACATGTCATCGGCACCAACTGTCATCGTCCGATCGTGCAGCAGGCGGTACAGGAGGTAACCTCGAATGATCTTTCCCTACCATCGACATTTTGGATGAAACGGGGTGCAGCCTGTGCAGCATGCCAAGGCACCCAGAAGTGACAACAAAAGCAATGCCACCAGGCACATGCAGCATACTTTGGGGCGATAAGAGGTGTATTTGTGGTTCACGACGACTTTCTCCCATTCCCCTCGTCCTCGGATACTTCGGCATGCCATGATGCAGCAGTTACGGCGGGACGAAATACCATGAACATGACAACGACTCCAAAGCAGCCTCGGCAAATGAATTTTAACGATTCGGAACATGGCAGTTCTTGGCAAACTGGCCCGAGACTCCATGCTCCACTTCCTTGTACGCGGCTGAATAGGACCCCTTGCCCTCTCCTTTCCAGACCATCTGGTACTGTTCCTGCATGTAAGCAGGATCGCCTCCACAGGGAAGGCTGCCGGCATGGATAGTCATGTCGGTCACAGACTAGCTGAGGCTAAGGGAAACGACTGACCTGCGTTTTGCTTCTCGTCTTCCTATGTCAACATCCTGCTGCGCAGCCGACCGGAAATCGGCTTTCTAGCCCTTTCCAAAACTGCCAGTGGTTGACCCCGCAGTGGGCTCTTTTCAAACTAGGTAGCTGCAAGACAGTGAAGAAAGACAGCGGCGAGCAACCGGCCTTCACAGAAGAGGTCCACGCATTGGTCCGACATAGCTCGCCACACAAGTTTTACGCCCTAGCTCGAGCCACCAGGTAAAGCTGCCGGAGACGTCGTGATGCAACACTGCGCTGGGTTACCATGGTTCCAGAGGATGGTCAACTCCTTGAACCAGTGGTTCGTAATTAATTAGCATGAACCGTGGGTCTGCAAGTTTTGTCTGAAGTAGCCGACGCCCTGTTGGCAGCTGGGGATTGGGGCCTGCCAGTGAGTATGCTAGTGCTTCGCACCAACACCCCACCTCCGCTTCAGAGACATGCAGCATGAACTCGCCCAGCTTTGGATACCGCACAACAAATTGACGAAGGTGTGTTGTCAAGGACTGGTATGCCGAATGGAGCAGCCGCATACTTGACAACCAAACGAGGCAATTACCCGATTTGGCCATCTCTTTTTCGAATTAAAAGAGCCGATGGTCGCTCTCGAGTGCAGGAGGTGGCGGCACGACAGGACCGGATGTGCCGAGGGCAACCTAGGTCAACTTAATTACTAGACAACTTCAAGTGAAGAAGAAGGGTGACCTGGCCTCCATTTTCAGCATGTCTTCGACCTCGGTCCAAAACGGAAGTGCCCTGAAATCCAAGCTCGACCTGATAAGGCCCCAGCGCTGCCGTTTCACCGCCCATGGCCTGGTGAGGGGTGAGGGGACCCCACTGAGGTCGAATGCATACATTTCCGGGCGCTGGAATCTCTGCAACATCGACAATCAACTGACAAAGGCACATTGGCACATCCGGCTGACAAGCCTGAGGGCCTTGGGAGGTATGCCTTCTCCTTATGCATTCTCTGTGGCTTGCGGGGTTTCACTTCAACGTGGGGCGGGTCAGCACAAGAATCGTGCGAATTACAAATTGTCGTGTTCATGTCGATTACACGCACACGTGCGCACACATACAGAAAAACGTACACTTCCTTCCCTTACTTCCTTCCTTCCGGGGTGTAGGAAGTCGGCATTCCTTCGTTCCCGCACGAACCACGCTGGTCTTTGCCGCGCTTGTGTCAGCTAGTGCTCTGAGGACAGTCCTGCCCGATAGCTTAAAGTTAAAACGACAGTTTCCTTACATGCCCAGGAGGGCAAAGCCTTCGGCCACCGCGTGCAGCCACAGGTCTGGCTTCTCTTGCAGTGGCACAAGAGTAGGGAAGAACACTGCAAACGTCCTGACAACGTGCATCTCCCACTCTCACTACGAAGTTCAAGCCGGTCCTACGTTGCATGCATCGCCCGTCATTCCTCAGGCCCTGGCTATAGTGTGCTCCGCCGTGGTACACATGGTGAACGACATGGACGGTCTGGGCTCCTTCTCAGAAAAGCCGCCTGTGTTTAGCTTGCGGCAACATCGCGCCTGCCCTACCTCCTTCGCAGCCGACGTGTTGGTGGAGACAGCACCATGCCTGCCGGGAACTAGCAAAAGCCAGTTTGCCTGAGTTGCCTCGGCAGCATTTCGTGGCCTTCTTGCCCCCGGACCAGCCGGTGTGCCAGTTGGCCAGGCCGGCATTGCAGTCATAGGGCAGGCTGGCGTGACTGTCCCCGTGGCCGTGAACGGCCATCCATGTCCAGTAGCCGTTCATCTGCCATGCGCTGCAGTGCCAAGCACCAGCTAGCATGAACGAGCACCGGCCTGCACGTGCTTCCAGACCATGCCGTAGCCGGCATCGACGGAAGGCGGGTGGTGGCCCTCGCAGCCCTTTCCCTGCTTGGTGCAGCACCAGTGCTTCTTCGCTGGGGCCCAAGCCTCACAACAGTCTGCGGAGGCAGGGGAGGCGCTATGAGCGCATGCTATACGTCCACAACCCACGCACACTCGGAGCATCAGCACAGGCCAGGCGACCCTGTAGAAGTTGTTGAGGGCCGCATTGCAGTCGAAGGGTAGTGAGCCCGACATGTGCACTTCACAGCCTGCCTCCTGCAACCCGGCAGGCGGATTTCTCCAAGATCACTCTCTACTGCCCCCCGTCGTGCCTCGACAGAACAAGAGCGACACACGTCGCACTCTACTTGCACCTTGCTATAGGCCAGCGCGCACTTGTTGTCCTTGTCTGAATGGCAAGAAGGGCACTGACAAATGTGAAGGGCACTGACAAATGAAGACGTCGACATGAGTTCGATTCACTTGGACCCTCGCATGGGAATCAAAAACGTTGTCTGCGGTCCACTTGATGCGGTCGAGGCAGGACGACGTTCTTCCTATAGCAGGTCATGCTGCCTGCTGCCGTAGCGGTTGGTACACGGCTGGCCTTTGAGTGTGCACGGAGTCTCGCACTTCATTGGCGAAAGCGTCGTTTGTGGGCAGCCCTTCTGAAAGTGAGCACAGCACCTGTGCATCGTCGCGTCTCTTTGAAGTGCAAGAAGCAAGCACTCCATGAAAACAATGGAGCAAAGACACCAGTCTGACTTGTCATCGGTCCAGGAATCCTCCTTAGTCAGTTAAAGTGGCCGGATGATTGCCAGGGCGGGGCGTGGTGGGGCTGCCCGGGAACAGTCACAAGTCACTTTCCAAGGCCAAAGGCACATCATCGCCGGTGCAGTGGTACTTGACGCAGCCCTTCTGCTCGTGTGAGCAGCACCAATCCTTTTTGGAGTCCGACCACCCTTGCATCCAGTTGGAGAAGCCGGCATCGCAGTCATAGATGTGCTCGTGATGCTCGTGCGCGTGGCCAACGTGGCGCCCTATGTGAGTGTCCAGGTGGTAGCTGCCATGCCAGGTGCCGGGGCAGCCGCGAGACTCGAAATGGCAGCAGTATGCCTTCTTGTCTTGTGACCAACCGAAATACCAGTTCGAGAAACCGGCATGGCAATTGTACTGCCGCGGATGGTAAACGACTTTCGGATGGTAACCTACGTGAGATACGTGAGAGCATGCTCGACCGTACAGGTCACAACAAATGGCCTTCTTGTCTTCGTCCCATTGCTCCTCAAAATTCAAATATCCGGTGTCGCAGTCTATCTCATCTTGCGCAGAACCACTGCTCAAATCGTCTGCTGCCACTGCATGGCGCATGTGCAGGAGGTAGTACAAAGAGTAACCTGCAGAGGGCCACAGGGGGCCCACTGAGCCATGAGACAAAAAACGTGGACGTCAAAGCCAAGGAGCCAAGCGCCGACAAAAGCAGCAGCGCCAGCAAGCAGAGGCAGCACTGGCGTGGGCGATAAACGAAGTATCGTCGACTGACGACCTCTTTCTCCCAGCCACCTTAGGAAAGGTCATACAGTCATACACACAGGGCAGGGTAGCAATGGAAACCTGCTCCTGCCATTTGTTTACGTCCCTTGGGAACTCCAGCAACAGCATGTGGGGTGCTGCGCGCGTCGAGCAGAGCAGATTGGGAAATCGGGACAAAGTTTACTTCCTAACTTCGAAGGCTCTGAGACCGGAGATTTGAGGATAGCACCTCCCTCCAGCTGCGGCTCCTAGACTAAACCCCACTTCGCGAGACTCAACCCCGATTTTTCTTTCCAGGCGTCCCTTTTCGAATTCCTTGTAGGAGGTGGCAGCATAGGAGCCCTGCCCCTCGCCTTTCCACACCATCTGGTAGTTCTCCTCAAGGGTGGTGGGGTCACCTGAGGCTTCTGACAGGATCGGCACAAAAGTTCCGAAAGCCCCGGAGCCTTCGCAGAAGAGGTCGAAGCATCCGAGCTGGTTCCCGCTTTGGGGGACCGGGACGCCGGTGACTTCGCGGCTCCGGGTCCGAGCATCCCCCATGTTGCCGCCAAGGCCCAAGGCCCGGTGGAGCTCTGAGCCCTGAGCCGGCTCGGAAAACTCGGAACTTGGATCCCTCCCCGGCAGCAGAAGCTAATTTCCCCATGTCTTGCACAGACGTCGACCATACTGGCATCTCCTGCTTGGGCTTTCCTCGCATACGATTTGATTAGTATGCATGTCTTCTGGCGAGCGCAGTGAGCTCCCGAAAGAACCTGGTAGATTGGTCGAAAGCCCTGCAGTAGGTACGAACATGCGACTCAAACAAGAGCACCACGTCAACTTTGATGAGATTACCTCGAGTGTTACCCGGAGAGGCTGAAAACCTTTGTGCGCCATCATCCGGAGAGCAAGAGCATGCGAATACATCGGCAAAGTGTGTGCGCGCGGACGTACGTGTCCGTGGGATGTCCTAATGCAGCGAAACTGCAACTGAAACTGCATATAAGCGGACTTCAACGTTACCAGTTGTGCAGTAGGTCCGCCATCCGACTCGAGCACGTGCACACGGTGCAGCTTTTTCACTTCGCGTAGCCGATTGTGTGTTTGCAGCAACTCCATGTCTCAAGACAGTGCGTGAAGTTGAGCCACACACATCAAAGGAAGGTTCTCTCACCGCTCGATCTGACAGCTTCTCGGCACAATTGCCGAGGAGTGAGCGGTGCTAGCTGCATAGTGCGACATGGTACGACAACAGCCAGAAGGATTCCGCTGGTTGGCTGTTTCTCGCTTGCCAGCAGGCAATGATGTGTTGCTGAAGGGCGTTGCCGGACCCAGCTTAACAAGGCGCAGCAGTGCTTCGCACTGGCAACAGGCAGCGCCTGCAGCTTGCTGCAGGTCTTTCAGAGCTGGACAGCACCTAAGATGCTGAACGAAAAACATGTCCTTGCTGAGATGCATCTCAGCCCAGCCACGTGCTTGCAGCTGCATGGAAAATCTCCGAGATGGCTCAGTTTGTCCATTTGCTCTCGAGTTACATCCTGCTTGCTGGCTGCTTCCTACGGCCGCTGTGAAGCTGCCCTGCCCTCACGGCCTACAGTGACCACCTCATTTACTGCTGCTACAGCTACAGATCCCCAAACCGCAAGGCAGCAGCGTACCAGGCAAGAGAGGCCGTGCTCTCAGGCGCAGGAGTTGCCGAAGTGGTTGCAGCACCAGACCTGGTCAAGCCCGTTGGGCCCACTAGCAGCCACGACAGCCACGACAGCCCCAGGCGCCTGCTTGGGATGGGACCAGCCCGC